CATACTTATATAAACGCTACTAAATACACACATGAATTTACGCGTATACGCATCATCATACAAAAGGCACATACACAATCATAAACGCACACATATAAGATACATGCACGCAAACACAAATATATATATAGACTGATAAACATACAAAATGAATATATAGATATACATATACATACATATATAAACGCATGCATAAAGACACGCACTGACATAGAGATAGAATAATCGCATACGCACACACGCAATCACTCACGCACAATCACGCTCATGAAATACGTACACGCACAAACGCAAACATGCATATACACACTCATACAAAAGAACACATATACATTTGCATATCAATACACATACATGCATAAACTTAAGTATTAATATACTTAAAAACACACACATGCACACGTACGCACAAAATACAAACACAGATACACAGCGAACACACTCAAAAAGAATCACAGACTATATATATATATATATATATATATATATATATATATATATATATATATATATATATATATATATATATATATATATATATATATATATAGTTAATAATCCGTTGGTATATAATCCAATTGAATCTTAATAATATAAAATATTAAAACAGATCCAAAAAAGAACTCAATGTATTTATTATAACAGAGCATATAAATTTCATAGAATAGAAATCTAAATTCCCTTCATTCGAATAGCTATTTCAACCAAGAAGAAAACCTATATATATATATATATATATATATATATATATAAAATTAGAGTGAAGAAACTTATCACTTAACTGAGTGGTGTTATTTCAGTCATGCCGACTTCGAAATTTCGTAAGTACATTGTAGTAGTGCCTTTACTCTTCGGGTTGCAAATTAAAAAAATAATAATGTTTTTTTATGAAAGTATTTATTTGTATATATATTTGATATTTCAGATTGGCCTCAATCTTTCTTCAAAAAATAACTGTTTGTTTTTATATATATATATATATATATATATATATATATATATATATATATATATATATATATATATATATATATATATATATATATATATATATATATGGGGGCACGTGGCCGAGTCTTTTCTGACCAAAAGACTCGAGTTCGAATCTCGCCATCATCATTCCGGACTGGTGAGATCGATCCCAGCGTGCGGTACCTTTGAAAGTGCCTGAAAACTATTCCATGGGGTAGATGGAACCCTTGGGGTCGCCGATAGCAGTGCTAGCACGAAGTCATCGTGGACGAGATGGTCTTGTTCAAATTGTTGATCACGCAAGTTTCCCAAAAACTGTAACTAAGGTCTGCTCAGCATAGTTGCAGTATTAATCTGTGGCTGTTGAATAAACACAAATTTGCTAGATCGGCTAACCATCCTAGTAGAGTGGCCATATATATATATATATATATATATATATATATATATATATATATAATGATAAACCTAGTGAGTCAGACAAACCTACCCAGGTTTCACCTAAGCGGATCGTTAGAAAGCTGGCTATATATATATATATATATATATATATATATATATATATATATATATATATATATATATAGCCAAGCTGTATATATATATATATATATATATATATATATATATATATATATATATATATATATATAATACTATATATATATATATATATATATATATATATATATTGCCTGAAAATTGCGTTCAAGCAGACCGTCTGAATATAGCTGAAATGCCCTCAAAATTCCAATTTGTAACTGCTATCGTTATATGAATAACGGCAGCAATACGACATGGCACGCAATATGTAACTATATCGATCCAGACCTGCTCTATCACTCGGAAAGTTGCAGGTCTGCAAAATGTCCCTTACATGTTCAATGAGGTTGCAATGGCGGTTTATGAGCTTTGAATCAGCCGGGGGTTCCTGGAAACAGTTTCAAGTCACCCCTTTTTTATCTGAGAGCGAACCATCACTACCTTGTGGAGGGGAAGGGGCAAGTTTATCATAATCATCATCAACTTCTTTGAGCCAACACTTGTTCCAACAGCACAGTCATACCTGCTCTAATGCTCTCATCAGAATGCATCTATCATACGTCCGTGCATTGGATATTGTTGCCATATCTGGTCTGGTGCTCCTGCCGTATATCTTGAAATTCTTGACAAAATCCAAAGTAAGGTCTGTAATGTTATCCTGACCTGGCATCTCGACTTCAATCACTTTCTCACCGCCGTGACGTGGCTTCCCTCTGTCTTTTCTATAAATATTTTCATGGCAATTGTTCTGATGAACTCTCCTCCTTGGTACCTCGTCATAAATTTGATGAAGTTTACTACCGAGGAAGCATTGGGATAACGAAAGATGCCTTCCAAGAGCTAAACAAAAACATACATTGATTGCACAAGGTGGGGTGCAATTTAAAAATAGTTTGTTTAATCCTACTTCATCATTTAGAATTACCGGAGCGCAGGTTCAATACAACGCTAGCAAACTATTATTGGAGTTTTAGAGAGAAAAAATGAAAGAAATCCGTCCATTAAATGGATTATGTTAAGAAAGGTAAAAGATGATAAATTCATGCGTCTCAGTTAGAAGGGTATACTAGGGATATGTGAATTCGGGCCATTGATCAACGTCACTATTAGGGTCCCAACTATGGGCAAAATAGTTGACTCCCAAACTAGGTTCAAAACACTGATAGTGTAAAAATAGATTTTAATACCAGCAATACATTTTTGCAAAAAGATTACCAGCAATACATTTTTGAAGAAAAAATATATTAGCATCAATAAATTTATAGGAAAATAAAAATTTTGTCGGCATTAAATAACCTATTGAGGTGTTGATATGCCGTAAAACAAACCAAACTAAACAATCGGAGAAATACAGATAAATGTTTAGGTTTTGCTTCATTTTTTAAACTAAGGGCATTTATATTTTATGAAATTGGCGTGTGACCATTTGCCTGTAGGAAAGAGATCGATTTGATACTGTAATGATTTTATCAACAGGTTCACCTTCTAAATCGATAAAAAAATCAATATTTTTCGATTCTATCAAATGCCAGGAAGGGCTAAAAAAAAATTCTAATCGACAAAAAAATTGCCTATTCTTTTTTACGAACAAACCAGTCTATAAATGTCGTGCTTATTAACCTCTCTAGGAAGAGATAGATGAAAACCCCTCGGGTCAACTTAGAAATTTTTCAAAATAATTTTTTTCAAAATAAATTTTTTGAAAATAAATTTTGATATTTTCCCCAAAAAAATTTTGAAAATTGTGCAGATTCTCGAAAGAAAGATTTCAGTACTCCTCATATACATACATACATATATATATATATATATATATATATATATATATATATATATATATATATATATATATCCTAATCATCATATCTTTCATTTCTTTTCTCTCTCTCTCTCTCTCTCTCTCTCTCTTTATCTATTTCTTTCTATATATATATATATATATATATATATATATATATATATATATATATATATATATATATATATATATATATATATACCTGTATAGGACTCGGTATTGTTGAGCCATATTTGCATTTAGTGTTATCTTCCTTTGCTGAGGCCCTACGGTTTCCAATGCTACTGAGATCATTCTAAGCACACCTATGATTTTTTTTTTCTGGTGTTTGGGTTGGTTTTTTCCCAAGTAACTGTATTTTTTTCAGTATTTCCATCTTGGCTGTGCGGGGATTTCCTACCTCGGTTTGTTTGGTTGATGTACGCATAGTGTGTACACATCAGCAACCCTCGTTGTAACACTTTGAACCCTGCCGGGCGAGTATAGAATGCCTATTTTCAAGCACAAAGAAAACTTTTGGCGACTACTACTAGATGATTGCGTGAAAACAAACATGAAACTTTTAGTTGTGGTCGGTCACTGTACACCAGGAATGTATTTAGAATCATATATATATATATATATATATATATATATATATATATATATATATATATATATATATATATATATATATATATATATATATATATATATATATATATATATATAAGTGTATAAAAGATAGAAAGTATTAAAAAAATGTATAAAAAGAAAAAAAAGATAAAATATATGCAGTAAATTGCTGATATTTCCTAAAGAGTGGGCGGACAGGTCCGCCTACGAAACTCATGTTAATTCTATATATATATATATATATATATATATATATATATATATATATATATATATATATATATATTATGAATTAACTGATTTAAAATATGGTTTCTTCGCTTCACAGGAATTAACATGTTTCAAAAATCGAAGCTAATAACTACAAAATTAATTATATAATTAAATTAAAAGCATTAGTTCTGTTTCATCTTCAAGCGAATTTTGGAATAATATTTATGCTCTGTAAATTTACATTGAGCGCTGTTTTGTAAAAATAAAAATATCAATAAGAACACCGGGTTATATATCTTACTGTTCTTTCTTTTTATTACAATATATATACGACAGAGAAATATATATATATATATATATATATATATATATATATATATATATACGACAGAGAAATATATATATATATATATATATATATATATATATATATATATATATTCTCTATCGTTCCTCTCTCTCTCTCTCTCTCTCTCTCTCTCTCTCTATATATATATATATATATATATATATATATATATATATATATATATATATATCCTCGTCCTCCTCTCTCTATCAGCTTGTTTCTATTTGTCTGTCATGAATTTGATGCAAGATGGCGTCGTTAATAGATTAAATGACAACTTTAAAAACAACCCCTTCAATTTTACCGGATTGTTGAAACTTTATGAGAAAAGCCAAAAATTCGTATTTATTATTAAAGACCTGTTGAAACACAAACTTTTTAGGGGTTGATTACTTACCACCCACCACATATACAAACATGAACAATAAAAGGAACGTTATAATGCACATTTTTTAGACACCGGATGAGCACACATTTAACTGAATTTTATTAGCATTCACGATTCCAATGATGCTTTTCTTCCCCCCCCCTCTCTCTTTATCTATCTATCTATCTATCTATCTATCTATCTATCTATCTATCTATCTATCTATCTATCTGTTTCTGTATCTATCAAGCTATCTATCGATCTCATTATTATACGCACTCATTTATCTCTATATCTTTCAATTTTTATCCCCCTTCACTCTCTTTCTTTCTCTCCTTCCCTGTCATTATTTTGTCTCTCGCTTTCCTTCTCTCTCTTTCTCTCATTCTGTCTATATCCGTAACATACACACAGACGTTTCTATCTCTCTCTCTCTCTCTCTCCCTCCCTCTCTCTCTCTCTCTCTCTCTCTCTCTCTCTCTCTCTCTCTCTCTCTCTCCTCTTTCTTTCAATTTTTATCTCTTTTCAATCGCTCTCTCTCTCTCTTTTTGTCTCTCGGTATTCTATCTTTCTTTCTCTAGCTTTGTTTTTCCTTTCTTTCTTTCTCACTCTTTTCGCTTATTAATTTTCTCTCTTTCTCTATAACTTTTTACTTTTTTTTTACTCTCTCTCTCTCTCTCTCTCTCTCTTTCTCCTCGTCTTTCCTTCTTTTCTATTGCTTACTTTTCTCTCATTTTCTCTTTCAGTTTTCTATTTTTCCCTCTCTTTTTCCTTCTCTCTGACATTTTCCTCTCCGTCTTTCTCCTGCTCTTTCTCTCTCACTTTTTACCCTGTATCTCTCGTTTTTTTCTCTCGCCAACATTCTTTCTAACATTTCTCTCACTCCCTCACTGTCTCTATAAATATTCGCTCTCTCTCTTCTCTCTCTCTATTTCGCTCCTACTTATTCGCACTTTCTTACTCCATCTTCTCTTACATTTTTCTCTCTCCTTCGTTCTCTTTCTCCTTCTCACTTCTCCCACGCTTTCTTTTATTCTTGCTCTTTCCCCAATTCTCACACATTTCTTTCTCATTCTTTCTCTCTCCTATCTTTCCCTGCAACTCACCTTTATTTTTCCTTTACTCTCTCTCTCTCTCTCTCTCTCTCTCTCTCTCTATATATATATATATATATATATATATATATATCTTTTGCTCTTTCTCATACACCGAACTTGAGTACACATGAAGAAATCAGAAGCTCCTTCAGAATTTCTAACCGCGGTTTCACTTATCCGCGATTGCCACTTTATTTTGCAAAATATTTTACAATCGAGAAAAATTTAAACAAACGTAATATGGAGATAATATTAGTCTAATAATAATTAGATCCTATAAGCATTCTTTTTTTTTATTATTTCACCCCAAGCAAGGCAATAAAGCCACTAAGAGGTAAGTGGGGTTACCGGGTGTGACAAACATTATTAATGTTATGGTCCGGTTCCTTGTACCACGGTGATAGTCCAAGGTAGAACCAATAAAGAAGAACTCGAAGGCGGATATGGAATAACACAGATATATTACAAACAGGAATATATACAGAGAAGTAGAAAGTGTTAGTACGAACAATCAGGTTTAGTAGTAATTGTCTGAACGCGACTCTGTTTCGGTCTGCCTCTGACTCGACTGACTGACTCGCTCGCTCTGACTGACTGACAGATTCCTGACGGACTTCTGACGGACCTCAGTCCAGACTTTAGACTGAACAGTATTTAGTCACTCACCCCCACCCCACGAGGGCATCATGTGGCACAAGGCCGGTTTAACGTGGGATCTCCGAGCCCGTGCGCTCGAACAAAAATATGCCCTTTTATCCCGTATAAACGGGCTCAGGGTCGGTTTACCTCCCCGAAAGAGATTCCGCCTTTCGGCGTAGCCTTGTTCGGGTTCCTCCCCGCCCGAAGGCAGAGACCGATCAGCCGGACTGAACTCCCTGCTTCCTCTTGAGGCGCAGTATATATTACGTATGGAATAGTCCATTATGTTATTATGGGTAAGGTCCCATAACAATTAATGAGGCAGGACAATAAATAAACATGAATTAAAAGACAGAAGATATCGATTGCCTTCAGTATTTCATTTCTGAAATAACTACACCCTTGGGCAAATTAATTGAAACAACCGCTTTACATTCCTTTCTTTCTACATACGGTCAGCTTTATATCCACTTGAGTGACAGGGTGTAATCGATTTTTATTTTTTCCTCGGATTAGGTCATTTGCAGTGGTGTGCAATAATATGAATTTATTCTCGGGGTGTATGATTTGGCCTTAGAAAATTTTGCGTCATCCGAGATTGCATCAGATTGTTATCACGCTCAGACACTATTGTCTAGACTGTCGATTAGTTGTCCTACAGACATTGTCTGCGTTGGACATTACTCCAAGGAGGCGTACGAAAATTGTAACGCTGTACGAACACACTGGCAAGCCTCAGCAGTGGACAAATCAAAGTACTATAGTCTGGCCCGGAAACTCTCCTGATTTAAATCCAATCAAGAATCTGCAAGGAACGACTTCGTGGAATGGACATACGAAGTACTAACATGAGCACTGGGAAAAATGGAAAAATACGAAATAAAAGTAAATAATAACGGAATCGTTGTGTTTCAATTAATTTGCACAAGGGTGTAATTGTCAATATTCTTGCATTATTTGGAACTATTTTTCTCATCTTATTTGATAGAGATATTATTATAAATACTACGTTTCGACCATGTACCCTCTGGTCATCATCAGGTGTCCATTATTTGGCTGATACGAGATATTTATTTATCATTGTAATATGAGATGAGCAATTGTGAATATTACGAATATGAAATACTAAATTATGAAAAGCGCTACGAACCCGCCATCATAACCAAATGTCAAAAAACATGTGATATTGAATATAATAGACACCTGATGATAACCAGCGGGTACGTGCTCGGAACGTTGTGTCTATAATAATATCTATATCGACCAAAATGAGAGCAGTAGTTCGTAATAATACACAAGAATATCAATATTTGACATTACATTTAATTTTTTGAAGATCAAAGTTGATTGAGAAGCAAGAGGCCAAAAGACAGTTCCACAAGCCAGAAGTGCGAAAGAAGAAACTGTTAGCATAGAACTTACGGTTACATCTAGCCATTTCAACTGCCAATATAGTACTGCGCTTAAATCCGTAAAGTAGCTGTACCAAAGAGGAAAGTTCATTAGAAATACACAGGGCCGTAACGTTACGACAGTGTGAAAATGACTGAAGCCGAGATGCCAGGTCCGGATAGGTAACATAGCAGATTTTTTTTCTTGGATTTTATTACGAATCTCCAAATGTATAGCATAAGCATGTGACAGTAATATTCAAAGCATGAACGTCTGGTCGACTTATAAATATGTAAGATACATTCTGTCAAGAAAAATTGACCAGCGCGACTCAGTGAACCAACTTTCCTAGTAGCAGACCAAGCTATTAATTCAATATAATCATCATGTCAACAGAAAGGGATAACCCAAGAAGGCGCAATAAGTCACTCTCCTGGAGGTTAGCGTTAGCCATCCCGATGGAAAGCAAAAACGGTTCTCTATGATTATTAAAAGAGAGCACTTTCATTTCACAGGCTTTAAAAGGAATTAATTTTCCTTATGTTTTCTGATGTTAAACCATTGTCTTTTGTGTGTAGTAGTAATCCAAATTTTTGAAAATAAATTCCTTTTAATAGTATATGGAAATAACCACTTTTTGCCTGATGAAGATCGTGAGACCCGAAACTCGTGTAGCCAAAATATGGAAAATAAAGCATAATATATATTTTTAAAAATCCACATTATAACTAATGGTTTCTCTCTTTTCTTTAAAATATACACTTTTCTCTCATTTATATACATATATATATATATATATATATATATATATATATATAAACACACACTGTATATAGTTGTTTGATATGTTTAGAGTTATTTGAGGACGTATTATGTTCCTTTATATTTATGTTAATATTCTCAATAGTCCGTCCAATTTGTTCATCAAAGATATAATGAGGAAAATCATTATTAATGAGGGTTTGCTTAAATTTTTTTTAATTCAGTATCGGAAATCTTTCTTGTTGAAGCGTTTGCTTTTGCACGGTTTATTAAGTTTTGTATAATAGCTATTTTGTAATATTTAGAACATTCACTTTTATAGTTGGGAGTGCATGTGTTTATGCTAGCTGGTTTTTATATGGGTAGGTAGTAAATGTATTATTATTAGTGTCTATCAATACATCAAGAAACCGGATTTTATTGTCGTTGTTAAGTTCTATGTGAAATTAAGTAAAAAGTTTTTGAAAAGTTTCCGTAGTTCATGTATTTCGTCTAGGTTTTTGACTAAAATGAGAATGTCATTTACATATCTTAAGTAAATAGAGTGTTTTGCGCGGTATTAAGTACGTTATTTTCTAGGTTAGTCATGTAGAAGTTGCTAAACGTTGGTCCCAGGACGGAACCCATAGGTACACCATCGAAGTGTACGTATATATTATTTTGATGGTCATAGAACCTCTGTGGTTCACATGAAGAGTAGGTTTCTTAAAATATCAGCACTAATTTTTAATGGAGGTAGAGATGGATATTTGCAAATATTCTCTAGGATTATGTCTATAGTTTCCATTTCTGCTCGATTGGTTAAGGCACGTCATGCTAAATGATGATTGGTGAATAAACTTTCACTGTTTCATTATTAGGCTTTTGTATTTTTAGAATTTGGAGTAGGCCGGGTGTTAATTTAATGCTGTATCGTCTAGACAATTAGTTATAATTTCTGAGAGAGAAGTTGTTATCTAACGTGATCAACAATTTGAACAAGGCCAGCACGCTCAAACGCTCGGTCACGATGACTTCGTGCATATAGCACAGCCATCGTTTACACAATTTCATTCAAAAATGCCTTATCTAGACTGATAAGAAGAAAACACCTTGAATGGTGACATTTAACCCCTGGTCTCGTGGTCAGACATCGAACGTTCTCACCACTCGGCCACGTGCTCATATAAATATATATATATATATATATATATATATATGTGTGTGTGTGTGTGTGTGTGTGTGTGTGTGTGTGTGTGTGAACAGTGAAGTCAACATTTAGAGGCGACAGTCTGTTTCATGCTAGACGGTCTGACGATTGCGTCTAGCATGAAACAGACTATCTCTCTAAATGTTCAATGTTCACTTTTATATTTGCACACGCTCTATCTCTGATATTGAGCACTTTATCCCATAAATATAGCACACCTTAAGAGTATATTTCTTCATATATATATATATATATATATATATATAATTCCTGAAATGATGCAGCATTGAAAAATATTTTTAATAATATATATATTAATATATAAACAAATATTCATTATTTGCGTAGATTGTAGCTAATAAAATAATATTAACGGGAAAAGTTTGGCTTCATTAAATAGGCAAACGAATACAGCAGAAACCGCAAAATCAATTTCCATTGGCTGAAATCCAAAAAAATCTAACCAATGAAAGTTAATACCAAATTTCGCGCATTCCTACAACGAGTCGGAAACTGAATGCTAATATCTCTTAGAATGTTGACACAGTTTATTTAAACATGTAATGAATGTAGCTGCTTCGAGGTATGGTAGATTAAAGAATCCAGATATAGGGAGACGTCATTCATTACACGTTATACGACATTTCTATTTGTCGTAAGTGTTGAAAAGAATGTGCTGCAGTTTGTACACTACAACGTCACATGAAACACAAATATTATTATTATTATTATTAAAATAAAATATTATTGCATAATAAAAAATATTACTGAAACACCTATTGCTACATCTGCAGAAAAGTATGTAAGTCCCTTGCAAGACTAAAAAGCCACATCCACACTGCATGTAGTTGGGGATCAACCAAGCAATGGGATTCCTCGGAATCGAGTCGAAGCCATCAACATGTGTCCATAGTATGCTTAAATAATATATATATATATATAATGGACTCTCCCGTCGGTTTCGACGTATGAGAATCTGAGAGCTTAGTTGATTCAGTTATGAAATTTTGTGCGATAATCTTAAGTGGCATTTAAGACCCACTAGTGATTTACAAAGGAGGTCAGGTATGGAGCAAGAGTGAGGATTGTGAGATGAGATCACAGTTAGATTGGTTGACCTTTTAGTTCTTGCTCTAGCT